TTGTTTGTATAATTATAGAAATACCCTTTAAACTATTTCTACACAAGTATTACAGAAATTCCTCGGAAATAATTTCCCCCTCAATCCGCAGGACCAACAGGAGTCCAGTGCGCCTCCTGAATCCGCCCAGCAGCCACAAGAGGCCGGGGTGACCAGAGCGCGGTCCAGGGGAAGTTCAGGAGCTGAAGGAGGAGGCGGCAATGGGGGAGGCGCGGGTGTGGGTGGCAACGGCAGCGGACCGGAGCAGAACGGACAACCTCCCGCCACTCGACCGCCACGTGTGGTGGAGACCGAGGAGGACGAGGATGAGGAGTTGACCTTGAAGTACGGGGCCAAACACGTCATCATGCTGTTCGTTCCCGTCACCCTCTGCATGGTGGTTGTCGTGGCAACCATCAAGTCCGTCAGCTTCTACACCCAGAACGACGGGCAGAGACTGTAAGTGCTGCCGGATGGTGATAGGCTGGAAAATAATGTGGCACTTGTTCCATATTCAGTGTTCAAGCAATACAACTGCAGCGCCACTAGGTGGAGTCAATGCAACATAGACTGTATCTGTCCTACATCATTTGAAAACCAAGACATCAGTGTAATTGCATAAGACCATTACTGCAGAGTCCTTAAACCTTTTTCATCATGCAACACTTTCTATTGTTTGAAATGTCACCCTCAGGATCTACACGCCGTTTCCCGAAGACACCGACACGGTGGGACAGCGAGCGCTCAACTCCATCCTGAACGCCACCATCATGATCACAGTGATCATCGTGATGACGTTGGTGCTGGTGCTGTTATACAAGTACCGCTGCTACAAGGTACAACTTTACCTCCTGTTAAAATGGCCGCATTACATTCAGATGTGTCACTTCCAACCTGCTTCAGAGATGTGTGAGTTGCTCTTCAGCAAAACTACCAGAGTAGTGAAGAAAATGTTAATGAAGCAGTTTCTGTAAAGCTGCACATTCCTGTGGAGGTAAACTAATTAAAAAAATAACCTGTTTGAGTTTGAACTAATGACAGTTGCCTCTAATATTTAATGGTTTAAACCTTTAATCCGTTAAACTCCTGTGAAAGCCAAACAGTCTGAGCTCCAGACAGGTGGGGCAGAGCACATCAGGTCAATGACCCACCCACCTGGTCGTCTTGGTAGTTTAAAACAAACACGAGATTAATGCAAGTTGAAACATTCCCATGACGTGTCCTTCACAGGTGATCCAAGGCTGGCTCTTCCTCTCCTCTCTCCTCCTGCTCTTCTTCTTCTCCTACATCTACCTCAAGTAAGCCACCGAACGTTTGATCTCGTTTCCCAAACCTTTCATAGATTCTCGTGTCACGTTGTCAGTTCTCGACGATGGTAGACGGAGTCTCTCCAGGTATTATCACCCTGTCTCTGCTTTGTCCAACAGAGAGGTTTTCAAGACCTACAATGTGGCCATGGACTATTTCACCCTGGCGATACTCATTTGGAACTTCGGAGTCGTGGGCATGATGTGTATTCACTGGAAAGGACCTCTGAGGCTTCAGCAGGCCTACCTCATCATGATCAGTGCCCTCATGGCCCTGGTTTTTATCAAGTACCTGCCAGAGTGGACCGCCTGGCTTATATTAGCTGTCATATCAGTCTACGGTAAATCCTCTCCTCTTCTTCTTGCTTTGACCTTTTTGCTTTTAAGCAAGAAATACGTCTTTAATCAACTACGTCCATCTGCTTCCTTTTAGTGCTTGAAGAAAAAGGGAAAACTCAAAATGTGTAATCTAACTTTCTTCTTTCTAAAATACAGAATCTTTTTATTTTCTTATTTTTTTTAACACGAGTTAAGAAAAAACACTTTAGCTCCTGTTTAGCCTTTTCAAAATCATAAAAAGCAAAGACGTCTGAACCAAAGCCTGGTTCATCAGAACATCGAACGCAGCACGAAACACGACTACAGTACGATCTCGTTGCTGTAAGGATTTCTTTTTGTCTCCAGCAGTTGGTGTGATGAAAGTAAACGTGTGCGTCAAGCCCTGAAGCTTTTCTCAAACACTTTAAACAAATGTGTGATGAAAGACCAATCTACCAGGAAAGGAAGTCTGGAAAAGCAGAACTCAAATCAGCTGCTTGACCAATTTCTCTTCAGCTTCCCTCTTGCTGACAGGAAGAGTTGGGTTCTGGATAATAATGATTGTGGCTAATTGATTTTAGTTGCCATGCCAACGTGGTGGGGATAAATAACCACTCGACCTGTAGACCAGCTCCCCACTCAGCCAGAGCCAGTTTGACTTAAAGTCCCGGCCTTTGATCTCACAGATGTCCGCCTGATGTGTTTTTGACTTTTCAAAGTGTCCTCTGTTTATCTTGCTCACGTCACTTGTCTGTCTTCTCTCCTCTCACAGATCTGTTAGCGGTGCTCTGTCCCAAAGGACCCCTGAGGATCCTGGTGGAGACGGCTCAGGAGAGGAACGAGCCCATCTTCCCAGCTCTCATCTACTCCTGTAAGACAGACACTTAATCAGGCTGTCCAAGACATTGAAGCTGTTTTAATTTGTTATTCTCCTTTGACTCTTCTCGTAGAACAAACCTTAACACTGACATTTTGACTCTCTCTTCTTCCCCAGCTACAATGGTGTGGCTCGTCAACATGGCCGACACAGACAGGCCAAAGAGGAACTCGACAGAAGCAGCTTCGCCGCAACAACAACAGCCCCAAGAAGGTGAGTGTGTGTTAGAGTGTGTGTTAGAGTGTGTGTTAGAGTGTGTGTGTGTTTGTGGGGGGATTGTTGTTTAGTCTAACTGATAACGCTCGCCTGCAGCCGTGGCGTCTCCTGGCCCCTCCAGTCCATCACAGGACGACGGCGGCTTCACCTCCACCTGGGTCAACCAGCAGGAGCACCAGCTGGGACCGCTCCAGTCCACGGACGAAACCAGACGGGAGATCCAGGAGCTGCCCTCTGCACGTCCTCCCGTAGAAGATGACGACGAGGAGAGTGAGTGTTGACAGCAGAAACATTTAAATTATTATTTTAGCCATGAGACTTTGCACAGGGGGCTTAAAAAGTTCAAATATTAATTTCTAGGTTTAATATTGTAGATTTCACATGAAGCCGAGTTGTGTTCAAACGCAGATGATCTGACTTCCTCCTCCTCCTCCTCCTCCTCCTCCTCCTCCTCACTGTGTAATCAGCATCTTTCTGTTCCCTCTTCTCCAAACGCACAAAATATTTTTGGAATGTTTTTTTATGTGTTCTCGTTTCTGTGAAATTGGCGTGTTTGTGATCACGACTACATGTTCGGCTGTGGACTGTTTTTAGTTGGAGCAGATTAGGAAACAATTATTCATGGGAATTACTGGGTTTCGTGTCTGTACTATTTGAGGGCGGCCGCTCTTTCTAACCTACAGCTTCAGTAAGTATGGGGTCGGAGCTTTCGTTTGTACAGTAATTACAGTTGAGAAAAGATTTCTATAGGGGTTGGAGGGCGTGGGGCCGAAGCAGATCTTGTGTTTGAATTGAATGTGGTGTCGTCCCGTGTTCTCAGGGGGCGTCAAGCTCGGGCTCGGAGACTTCATCTTCTACAGCATGCTGGTGGGAAAGGCCTCGGCCGCAGCCAGCGGCGACTGGAACACCACGCTCGCCTGCTTTGTCGCCATCCTCATTGTGAGTGACCACAGCTGCTTATTTTGGTGTCAAGTCACCACAACCTCTTCTGTGTCTGTCAGCGTCTCCCAGCCCACGCTATGAGATCCATAAACAGAGCTGATTTAGTTTGGAACACAAGCACTCATTGTGTTACTTCCTGTTCTATTTTGTCTGTCTGCAGGGCCTCTGTCTGACCCTCCTCCTCCTCGCCATCTTCAAGAAGGCGCTCCCCGCTCTGCCCATCTCCATTTTCTTCGGCCTGGTCTTCTACTTTGCCACCGACAACTTGGTACGGCCCTTCATGGACAAGCTGGCGCTGCACCAGTTCTACGTTTAGTAGGGCGCCGGCCTGATAACCCTCACCTACATAGCTCTCTGGCCAACAACACGAGAGCGGTCCCTTCACAGCCGGAGAACAAAGGATGATGCTGGGGCCCCTCCCGCCCCCACGTCCCCTCCTAAGAACTCATGATGATGGGACACATGTAGTTTTTGCTCTGCCTTTCTTTCTCCACCAAGAGAGGGGATTCCCCACAACAGCTGTTCTTAGATATTTTATTTCTGTTTTAAACCAAGAACTGACATTTCTGGCTCGACTTGGGACGTCATCTGTCGATCACCGGTCTCAGGCACAAAGTTAGTGAGAATATTTTACCTTTATTTATCCAGGGAAGCTTCTCAAGAGCACATCTGGGAGCTCCCCAGTACAACCACTCTGGCTGGGGCTCAGCAGGAGGTGCCTTGCTCATAGACACCTCGGCGGTAGCTGTTGAGCAGAAGGAGGCGATTCTCTGGTTCAAATCTTCCCTCAAACATTTCCCTCATCTCCAGTCCTTTTACATGACTCGTGAGCGAACACCACCCACATGTTCCACCGAAGATTTGAAAAGCCTTCATCACACGAATGGACACTCAATGATAGATGTTATGTAAATGTGTAGTTTGATTACGTATGAGCTGTCCGTCACCAGAGCGTGCTTTCCTCACCGCTGTTAAGAATGGTTAAGACCCTTTTCTTCACTTTAGACACAAAACAACTAAAGCTCTGACGCCGGAGCCGCTCGCACCCAGAAAGATTTGCACTGAACAGGATGTTTCGAACATGAGGATCTTTCGCATGTGGGAAAGTGGAGGGAAAAATGTAAATCGAGAATTTGAGTGTTGTTGTGACACTGATGCTGATTTCACCGTGTTGTCTCACCTTAACTCTTCCCTTAAATCACATTTGAATTCACAGCCTGCATAGGAAGTAAAGTTCATACACACTCGCACCTGAGACTTGCCTGCCGTGTTAGCCACGTGCTGTCGGCCACTGAGCAGTTCTGCTGGAGCAGTTGGGGGTTCAGTGCCTTGCTCAAGGGCATTTCAGTAGTCGTTGTAGTTGTCTTCGTCGTTATTGTGGGACAGAAATGTGCTTTTCATTCTCTACCCGGACTGAGATGTAATTAGTTTTTTATTTAAACACGTCCAGGGATTGTAACCTGTGATCACATGGTCACAAACTCTGAACCTTGAGGCTACAGCTGCCGTCATGACGCTCGCCTGGTGCTGTCTTGAACTATGCTACATCAAACTAAAATCATTTCATCTATACACAGATATTGTTTTTTCAAGATATGCAGAAGAGACATTTTGTACTTTTTGAAACCGGGGTGGATGTTAGCAGGGCTCCGACGAAAATGTGACAAAAAATGTGAAAGAAATAATGAAAAACTAATGAGGGAGTTATAGATGTAGTTCAATTTCATGGATTTGAGGACAATTTAGGAAAATATCCTAATTGATCTGATCAAATGTAAAAACAAACCAAAAAGTAAGAAAACAATGTTCTAGTGTGAAACATTGACATGTGTATGAACCTGTGGCGTCTCACACACGAGATGAGCTGCAGAGTAAAGACGAGCTGCACCGGTCGCTCGTCTGATGTTGCACTCGAGTTTCCTGTTTGCAGAGAAAAGAAATAACATTTATTCTGAGACTGTTTTTTTTTTTCCCCTACTTGTTTTCGGGGAATATTTCGGGTGACTGGCGTTTTATTTTTTTTTCTGTCCTTCACATGCATATGTGTGTTATGCAAGGTTATTCAATTCTGATTTTGTTCTTTTTTTAATAAACAATAAAACTAAAAATAGTCCCTTCTTGTTTATTGTTGCTCACACAGTCGTGCACTGCAGCACTTACAGCGGTTATGTGTGAAATCATAGTGTGGTGTTGTTTTCTGGCTGCATCTTCCGTGACAAGTAGTGACTGTGCCTGTGGTCGGCTGTGTTATGACTGCGTTAAATGCTCTGTGAGCAGAGTTAACCCCCCCCAGCTCCTCCATCCATTATCTGTACCGCTTATCAAGGGTCAGAGGTGAGCTGGGGCCAGTCCCTGCACACCGTCTCCCCTCAACATCCACATTATTACCAATCGGCTGATAGATCCATAACGACAGACGTGATCAATCATCTGCTCAGAGCGATCAGCAACTCATGAATTACTCAAATAAATTACAAATGATTATACTTATTATATCATTCTAAATACTTAATTACTGAACTTGAGTCAATGCTCAAACTTCTCTGCACACTGAAGCAGAAAACAACAGATAAAGCTCAGTGACGTTGTTAAACTGTTTCCTGTTGTTATTGTCCCCCCCCCCCCCACTCGGAGGTCAAAGGTCAAGCCCAACACTGTTTCATAATTTCACACAATGACAAAGCGCTCTCGTCTCTCACGCTTCATCTGCACAGATTTCCACTGAGCGAACCGTCCCAGGAATTGACGCAGAGCGTCTCTGCAGACGGTGGGAACAATGTGGAAATTCCTCTGCATGCTGATGCACTGGCATCCCTGCGCTCGCTGTCCCCCCCGATGCCAACTGGCTGATGGGGCGCGTTTGGCACGTCGCCCGGAGCGCTGGATGCATTAGCTGTCACCATGGAAACTGTTAGGCCGTCCTCGCTGGCATGGACAGTGGAACAGTGTGGCAGTTTACCCACGATGCTTAGCCTCATGGTGAGGCCCTCAGGAAGGGCTGGTTCTGGCATGTGAGTCCCGCAGCTCAGCTGGTCAACAACCACAGAGCTAATTCCATAAGGCCTCTCCTGCGTCGGCTCCAGACACCTGCTCCGCTCAGATTAAGTTGCTCTTGAAACTGTTTGGCAGCTTTTTCCAGATTAACACATTAAAATGTTTTTTTCCCCAAACTGAAGAACTCCCATCGACAGAAGTGTGAATCCTCTGTTTCTGTTTTGTCTGAGATGTTAAATTAGATGTTGAATTCCTTTGTCGATCTTTAAGCTTATTTGCTGACAAGTTGAAGAGACTACAGAGTGATCTGAGGTCAGCTGTCAATCACTGTCGTCCTCCGCATAGAGTGGATTTACGCAGGAGACGCTGTGACTGTGTGTCTCACCTGTGTGCGTTGGAGGTTTCCCAGGATAGCTCTGCTAAAGGGATTACTGCGCAGGGAGGGACGTCCGCTCCATGTGAGACATGTAGGGAACTGAGGATTAGACTTGAATAATCGCTCCAGACAGGAAACAAGCGCAGACGCTCAACATCACAGGAGAAAAGAGACGAAGCTCGGACAGAAAGAAAGAAAAACCGTCAAAGAAGATGTCCAAGGACCAGCTGGAGAGCCTGGTGAAGCGCATGGAGGAGACGCTCTCCGAGATGGAGCAGCTGAAGCTTCACTGCGGGAAGCAGAGCGAGGAGCTGAGCCAGCTGGTGGTGGAGCTCCGCAGGGAGAACCAGGAGCTGGTGGAGAAGTACAACCAGCTCGCTGTGGAGATGAAGGAGGCCAAGGAGATTATAGACCAGCTACAGGACACAAAACATGCCTTTAATGCAAAGGAGAGGCAGGCGCACAAGCTCAGCCGCCAGCTCTGAGGGCCACAGGGGAGCAGGAAACTGGATGTGACCTGGCTGCAGATGTGAAAGTGGAAGATGTCTAGAGACTGGGTGGGAATGGAAGCTAAACTGAGTGCTGCTGTTCTCTGTATCGTATAGAGAGGGAGTTTTTTTGTCTCCATATGTGTAACTTTTAGGTCTGGATGGACGTAAGGTTTAGTAATTTGAGTGTTAACCTCGACCCTGTGGTGCAGGGCTGTTTTTAAATCCACGGCTAGACTTAATGAGCAGGAATCCTGAAGGTCTCGGAAAAATGTGTGGAATCTGCCTGAAAAAGGGTTTTTGAAAAGGAAGTGAAGATTTCACACAAAGAAATTGCGCTCATTTGGTTTCTATAATTAAAACAACAACATGCCTGGAAGCCGGGCTGCAAAACCCGTAAAGATTTTTATTTGATGGCAGCCACTGGATGCTACTTTTAGTTTTTCGTGGAGCAGAAGTGAGTGGTCACGTATTTTTGTACCTTGTGGAATCAAAGTGCTAAAAATACCTGATTATCCCTCCAGGCCTTCGACCTTGTGAGGTGTGAGACTTCAAGGTGCCTCCCACCGCGCTGGGTCACAGTCCATGGGCCTTTTTCACTGCAGCCATCGTTCATTTGATTATTCACATCTGTGTGTCAGCTTCACTGACACGTCAAAACATCTGCAGGGAAAAAGGGTTTAAGAAAAAAATATCCCAAAGGTATCCCGGAGATGAAGGCTGCCATCTTGAGCCCATGTTTGGAGCCGGAGTTTGTGCACAAGTGATTTAGAGGTGGAGCCGCGGTATCGAGATCCTGCAGATGAAAGCACTCGTCCGATCACATTAAAACCAAACATCATAAAAGATGAACGCAATCCTCAGTGTGAAAATATATATTTTATGTTTATTTTGACTTTTAGTTCAAGTCCTATCCACTAACATGGAGGAGGCAGGGAGTAACCCATATTGCAGCGAGCCACCAAGGAGCTGTCACGTCGTCCATCTTGTTGTTTGAATGTTTGAAGAGTTGCAGATGTTTTGTGATCTTCATGTTCTCTGTACATGTTTATCAGGTTTCATTGATCCTGAATCCAGAATTAAAAAAGCGTATTGAAACTGAATGCGTTCTCAAATCAATGTGGGTTTTACTCCATAACAAAATGTTGGGCTGCAGCTACAAGTTGAAAAGTTTTCCTTGATATAAAAACTTTATTCATTAAAACAGTAAACACCAGCAGCACCTGGATCACAAGAAACACCCACATTTAATATCTGAACACAATAGAATACATTTGAAAATGAAACCTAAACAATGAGCTTGATTCCAGTCACGTGCACTTCACTGTCTCCTTGTCTGTGAAATCGTTGTTAACAGGGACGTTAAATTCTCTCATCCCTCACTCGACCCCAGGTCACTGACTTTCTGCCAAAAGCTTCTTCATGTTACAGTTTGTGGATCTGAACAGGAGGAGAGGTGATTTAGTCCGAGGCCCCAAAGTCCCTTGAAATTAGTAAAACAATAGTTTGATGTCAAATCAATTTGTTTCGGGCCAAATTTGCTATTTTGCTTTAGTCTCACATCCATTTTGTCCGAGCCACTAGAAAACCCAGAGGTGCCGCGTAGAACATTTAAAGTCCTGCTTGCAAATGGTTTTATTAAAAATAATAATGTAATATTTAATATAACACTCACAGGGGTCATGTATCTGCTGTGGTAAAACTTTTACTTTCAGATATAAATACTTCAATACTTTTACATAAGAAGCATTCATTCGGGACTTTCACATGTACCAGTGTATTTTTACTGTGTGACACTTTTTCTATTTCTTACTCTCGGCATCACATGGCTCTTTATAGTGTCCTCGTGTACTGTACAGAAAACATACGTTGGTAAAAACTGTACATGTGCTACAAACCACAGCTGGATTATACTGCTCCAGATGTACATTATATACTATTTTGGAGCTATACATAGCCCAGATGGCAAAATGTACGTTCTCAATGAAAAGGTTGAGCTGGAGGTGGAAGCTTCATCTCCGGTCGATGGTCCGCTGGAACCATGTTGTGTTTCTGCTGGCACGACACGGGCGCACACGCAGAGGTCATGATACCTGTACACGTCTATTATGTTGGACATTTATGCTCATGTGAGTCATTCGGTAAAATCTAAGCATGTAGCAAACAAACGTTGTTTTGGTAATTTGGTGAATCATGTGTGTGAGAAGTCTGGAGCCCACCGCGATGCTGCTTCCACACTCAGACTCAAACTCGAGACAAGTGCACATTACACTCTGATGTATTTTTACATGAGACCACAATTACATAATATCAGCAGTTCTGGGTGTTTGTTTTTAGATGTCATTGGCATGTTCTGAAAAACCTCAACCCCCCCAAACACAGAGGAGAGGGGAGGGCTAGAAGAGACGGGAAACATATAACGGCGGATGTTTAAACACAGCTTTGGAAGCGGCAGTGGTGGTTTTCTCTTAAAACCCAAAATAATTGCTTCTATCTGTTGTTTTCATGGAATCAGAACATGTTCAATCTGATATAGCAATTAAATCTTCAAGAGATGTTTAAATTATTGACAAGACAAAATTGTATTCATGGACTGTCTCAGTTTTCTTTTTGTGTGTGTTTTAAACTCTAATGTTCGGACCTCAAAAAACACACTTAACATTGTTTATTATTATTCAGCATTATTTTTGTGCAGCTTGCATGGTAGGAGCTGGTTAGACCAAGAGCGGGGAACAAGATGGCGGCATTTGTATTAGTGACACAAAGACAACTCAGAAAAGATCTCGTGAAAATTATATATTCTTTATTAGTTAAAGAATATTATATAAAATCGTATAAACGATCACAGGGATGCTGGGAGTCAGTCAGTAGAGGTTCAGGTACTGAGAGAGAGTCTATTTACTCCTATTCTACATCGCGCAGCAGTTTAACAGTTGAAATTCCAACATGTGTCGTAATTTGAATGGCCGACAACATTTCATACCAGATTAGAACATTTTACAGAACAATGGACACGACACATGTTCTATACTCCTTTAAGAAAGCAGAGATTCGGAGGAGGTGAACTGAAATGAGTTGCATCACAAGCTTGTCCCACTCTTACAGTTGCATTGTTAGCAACTTTGAGCCGCTGCACTTTCTGCAACTCGGGCACTCACGCATTTGAAGGAGCCTTCGAAATGGTCTTGAATTTATTTTAGTGAACTTTTTGCTGTGCAGTGGCAGCGTCTTCACCAGTAGGGGGTGCTGCAGCCAGGCAGCACCACTGTCTCCAGCGTGCTCGGACCCAACAGGTCCACTTGGGGGCGTGTTCTGTTTCCTGCTCGTCAGAAAAGAAATATTAAAATATCCTTATAGCAGGAAGAAGTGTCGGGCCGAGAAAACAATATCAATAATTATCGCAATAAAATTTTCATCGGTAGCCATGTAACCAAAGTTTAATATAAATCGATAGTAGGCATAACTCATAATTTGCTTTCTACCTCTAATTTGTAAAATGTTTTGTTGTTTATCAGGAGTTCATCATGATCTGCTCATAAAGAAGAATTTAAAGCCACAGCCGTCTTTACTTTTAAAACCAATCGTGATAGTTATCGATACAAAAAGGTTTGTCTTGGTTTGTCCTCCGCCCTGTAATTTAAACATCAGTATTATAGATTGTGTACAATACTACAAACAATGTTTGACATCTGTTACAATGCCAGTAATGTATAATAGTACATATACATTCTGAATCTGTTGCTGTCCTGTCCTCAGTGTTCCACCTGGTGGACACACATCTTTAAAACAATCAGTAGAAAGTGTTTTGTGTTCTTGTGTTTTCCATAACATGAATTATTCCTTTATCTTATTCCAACAACAAGTCACGTCAGTACAGATGTATATATATATCTGTATATAGCAAGTTAAAAACAACAGGAGATGAGGCAAAGTGTTGATCGAAAGTAAAAACAGTGAAAGAGATGCAATGAAAGACAAGAAGATAAATATCAACACAATCGTCAAAACGAATCTGAATTAAAAGAGATTAAAAAGATTGTACATGTGGTGGTTTCTATATTTTGCCCTGTGGTTTGAATGTCAAGGAAAGAAAAGCAGATTGAATTTATATCAACAAAAGTCCCAGTGAACATCCAGTTCTCTTTGGGGAACATTTCCATGTGAACATAATAAACCAGCCTTCACATCAGACCCCAGATGACTGTGGATGAGCGCACCCTGGTATTACAGGAAGGGTTTCTACTGTTGGTTTCAGCAAAGTGGGAATCAACTTTTCAAGACCCTCATCTGGAACATGCTCGTCGGGGACCGTGTAACAAACGAACACGCGGATCAACAGGCTGTTATTTGTACAGTGCGAAATTACAGACTGCGCGTAAAAGCTCTCCATGTGCGCCAGGAGGGGCTGTAATTGCGCCGGTTGCGCGTTGGTTGAAAAGCGCAACGGTGACGCAGCGGAGGAGATTTAACCAGCAGGACTTTCTCTTCTCCTCCTGGTCGGTTTCCTGTTGGACAGAGAGAGAGACACACAGAGAGAGAGACATAGAGGAGCAGCAGGATAAACCTCCTCATTCACCCACGACACCGCATCTTCCAGGCCGAAGCTCCGGAGAGACACCCGCAGCTTCCACCGCAAGGATCCGATCCAGCAGAGCTCTGGGACTCTGAAGAAACCGCATCTGAACAGGGTGAGAGGATTATGATTTCACCTACATGCTAACAAAGCTTTCCAAGTGTCTCTCAGGTCATTGATGAAACAGAAAGTGGAAGGGAATTGTTTTTTTCCAGGAGAGGAGATAAAACAAAGACAGTTTTAATCTGAAAGAGACTTTGATGTTGTAGATCAACAGTAAAAAGAAATGACAGAGGCTTAAAAAGAGTTTGCTCAATGTTTAATATGAGTATTTGAGAGAAACACAATAACAACATCTTTAGTATTAATAGGATTTGTAGGATTGTTGCAGAAAAGATTACATCTTTAAGAATACACGACCTATCATTATGAATTCATTAATTATTTCCAACATTGACCAGGTGCCAGTTGCAGACACACCTCACACACAAATGCACACACGACACAAGACGCTGCCTGCCCCGGCTGACTGATGAATAATTGTTAATATGATTGGATAGAGGCTTGTACACAGCCTGAGGCTAAAGGCTTTGTGAGCTGGAGCAGCCAGAAGTTACAGGCGATGAAGAACAAGCTCGCTGAGGATTTCTAATCACATCAGAGGTTCGAGATCCTGACTTTTGTTTGGTTTGAGAAGAGGATCAGTGATGGATCAGATTTTCTGTTCTTACTGGGACCTGGTTTATTGCTGAAAGTCATATATCAGACAAAGACTGGTCCCTGACTTTGAGCTGTGTCAGTGATCACCACGACTTTGCATTAAAGAACATGTTGTTTTCCTGTGACGTCCTGCGGCCGTGAGTTTAGAAGCACGCTTTCTTTTCAGGGAAACTTCATTTGAAAGAGTTTCGTCAAAACAGTGGATTCCTAATGTTCGTATATTTGAGGTCTCCATTCTTTCAGGCTACTGCAGAAGTAGTTGATCAGTTAATTGACTCATTTGAATGAAATTAAAACCATTTGATCATTTAAAGTCCTAAACAAACTTTGACTGGGTTCAGCTTCTCCAACGCTTCATGCTTTTACTGCTCGTCACTGCTTGATTGTAAATTCAGTAACTCTGGGACGTTACACCAATTTCCGACATTTGACATTTTATAAAGATAGTAGATGAAGGGGACAGTCAGCAGTTTGATTGGGGATGAAGATAATCCCTGGGGCAGCTCACTGGGGGTCTTCTTGCGGAGTCTCAGGTTACCAGCACCACCAGCACCACCACCCAGTCAGGGGCGATGGCTCCACCAGGTTGCTCAGTTTGCTTCAGATCAGACATGCTGACTGCCTGTCGTCTCTCCCCTCTGACATAACCACCCCTCTGTTCGCTGTTTCACGGCTGCGGGCAGTGGGGGCATTCGCTGGCCATGGCTGACAGGTCAGAGGTAGTTTGGCAGCTCCAGCCACCCCCACCATCCCCCTCCACCAACCAACCCCCCGAACCCAACCCTGCAGGAAACCCCCCATTTGCCCTGAAAAAAAAATAAACAAACAGCCGCTCCACATGCAACAAAAGAGCCATTTTTAGGTCAGTTAAGCAATTAAGTGAGGAGATAGCAGAGGAAATGAAAACATGTTCAGGTTTTGGATTGACTTAAAGCTGCTGCCAATTCTTATTATCAGTTATAAATCTTCTCAGTTAATAGATTTATTATTTCATCTAAAACATTTAGAAGATAGTGGAAAAAACGTGCATGTCTATTTCACAGATGACTCTTTCTAATTCCTTGTTTTGTGCGTCCAACAATTCAAAACTCAAAGATATTCAGGATGACTAATAAAACCAGAGATCTGTCTGTATGTGTCTCACATATCTCGAGAATCGCTCATCTCATCAGCTTCACACTTGGCATGTGTATTGTGAAGGACTCAAAGAATTGCAGAGTCGAAAATGGTGCGATCTGGACACAATATTGACGTCTTCAACTTACCAGGTTTTCATCCGGCTCCGAATTCACCAGAGCGACAGATGCAGATCCAGCTGCAGATCATCTGCTGTGGTCGGTGGCTTCGAACCAAACCACAGAACAAGCTGCTGAATCTGTTCTGTTCAGCTTAAGTGCTCACAGATCTGTGATAAAACATTACTACAAATTGATTTATATACTTGGAAATGTTTTAGGAAATGCAGATGTTTACAGCCTCTCGGCCAAACCGCAGCAGATTCTTTTTTTTAAAAATTGTTTTGTTTTGTTCCGACCTCCTGCCGTCTCTTTCTGCCCCTCGTAGATCTTCTTTGTTCATGTTGGCCTGTGTCTCACTTCCTTTATTGTCTCCTCTCTCGTTGCCCTGGCTTGTTTCCGAAAAAGTTGCTCAATGTGTAATAACCACCATTAGTCACGGTGACTAACTCTGGATCCTCCATTTTTTTTTCCTCCCAGGGAACAATGAAGATGCTGCTGCCTCTGGTAATCCTCCAGCTGCTCCTGGCTCCAGCTCTCATGGTAAATTCCCCAATGAAATCATCACACACTAATAAAACATAATGAAAGTTGTCAATCTCTTTAAAGGTTCACTTTCCTTTCTCTCTTTCAATTCACTGCAGTATTTATAGTATTTCAGGAGTAACGAAAAACTCACATTTTCTTTATCAATTAATAATTTGAGTACATTTTCAAATAAAAATACGATAAAATTTCTGTTCATGACGTCTGAAATGTGAGGATTTGCTGCTTTTGTTGTTGTTAAGATGATTGAAAACTGGATATCTTTGGGGTTTTGACTGTTGCATGGACGAAAAGCCACGTTTAATTATTTTCTGATGTTTTAGAAACCGACAGTAATAGTAATTCATCGAGAAAATAATTGCAATAATAATCAGCTATCCTAAAATAGTTTTAGGTAAATATTTATGAATAATTAAAATGACCAAATCTAAAAATATGTGATTTTAACCTGACACCAAGTGAAGTCGATTCTAGATGAATAAAAACTGTGAAGAAAATTAGTTGTGACAACGTGAAGGCCACATTCTAGTTAAAAATCACAAAACACAACCTCCTTGGCCGACGTAATAAGATAATAAATCACTTCCAGATCCATTAATATTTCGTTGTGTAGCTTTCAGTCTTGTTTCTGTTTTCACTTGTCACATCTCAGAGCATGTTCGCTGAGCAGATGACATCACAACTTCATTCTTGATCTTTGAAGCAAAGAAAACAACTTCATAGCTCAGATTAGTTTGCGTGTCTAACCTGCTGTTGTGTACTCAGGTGCCCAGCGTGGATCGCTGGGACACGTGGGCTCCTTATGGAGAATGCAGTCGCAGCTGTGGCAGCGGCGTGACCATGAGAACCAGACGCTGCATCACACTCAGGTAAAGTTCTTATCTGGGTTCCTCTGCATGTACACACAAACAAGTCTGCACACGTGTACAAGCACACACTGTCAACACACGTCCAGACGCTGTGTGACAGACCCGGCTCATTGTGAGGCTTCACACACTCTTCCTGTCTGAATAAAGCTAATTGTGAGGTTCAGGGGCACAGACGGTATCTTGATTGTGGAAGAATGCCTTGAAGTCACATGGACGTGGAGAGAGCGGCTCTTTAAAGACCTCCGCTTCACTGGGTGTGGCCTGTTGTCTGCTGCAGAGGATCACATGAGATGTTTTTATCTGCCCCCCCCCCCACCCTATTTTTTAAAAATAGTTTTACGTTGTTGTGTTTTAGTTTTTCTTAAAGTAAGATTTAATTAAAAATGGTTTCTGTCCATTTTGAGTTTGGTTTGACATGATTCTCACACATCTGGCTAATTAAGAAGATTTGTGTTGTTGCTACTTGAAATGAAGCTTCAGTTCAGTGTCGTTGAGTCATTTCCAATTTAGAGTTTAGAGTTGGTCCCATGTCCGAAGGTTCTTGAATCTTTTTGGTCTCTCCAGGTTGACGTCTCCGTCAGCTTCTCGTGTATTCTGACATACTTGTTTTACGTCCATTATAAATGTCAACACGTCCTCTCGCTCGCTGTGAATCCTCCAGATGTTTTGCTGCTTTATTACAACATGGCCTCACTCTGACATTTTCAAGACATTTTACTCGTGGGCTAAATATCTCTAGACTCTAGACTCTTGTGTTCTCCCTCCAGAAGGTTTGAGGAAAGTGTCCGGACTTCAGTGCACGTTCCTCCGCTTCTAAACTCGTTTCATTCTGGCTGTAAAATGCTCAGCAGACTGAGCTGAGCTGAGCTGTGCCTCAACAACAAGTTGGAATTTGATATTTTGACTTCTTCTTGAAACACAGACGACCACCAGACAGAACATGTCGGTGACGATGTTTCTCTAACGTGTCCGAACACTTTTCTGATTCACCCTGTTTGATATTTTGATGCGTTTATGCGAAGGCAAAATGTCGTGTTTTTTTTTGTTTTACATGTAGAACCTCGTTGTGAGGGAACCAGAACAGAGGCAGTATTAGATGCTGCTCGTCAACAGCATGTCCGTGTGTCAGACGTCTGTTGCTCTTTCTTCTCTTTGCTTCTAATGATGAATCATTTTCAGGTCGTCCTGCCTCCTGCTACCTCGTCTGCCCCGTTTCCCGGATTACACCTTTGAATATGATGGACAGGCTGAATCATTGTTTGCTTTACAGGAACTCCCATTTCCCCAGATATTCACCTGAGTTTAAAATTACCTGACCTTCATCCCAGTGACTCACATCAAGCGAGCAACAGTTTGTCATGTTTTCTGCTGAGGGCTATAATCAGTCACTTACAGTAGATACCTGCCCATTTTTCCACCTTCCTGATGCGTAGAAAGGTAGAAACGCTCCAAATGTTTTTATTTTCCATTTCCCGGGTGAAAAGTTGTGAACGACTGTTTGGACATGTTTTAGTTTCAGATCTGGCGCGCTGACAGGAGTCTTGTTTTTTAGGCTGAAGGGCAAGGACTTCTGGAGAGGACTTAATCATGAGTTATCAGCACGGCAGGAAAACAATCTGCTGTTTCAAGACTCAGAGCCGAGCATGTGCGCAGATGTTTGGGTTCAGCAGTGTTGCTGTTGAGGCTCCTGCTGTGCTGAGAAGTCAGTTTTTTATAGGCACAGATTAAAGAGGAATGCCATTTAATGTCAGAGCTCAAACAGGTTATTTCTGAACTCCCAGACAGTTTGTATTTGCAACATGTGCTCTGCCGCCTCACCTACTCATTAACTACTACTGTGTAACAGTGATGACCCATAAACATTTAATGCAGCGCTAGTCAGAAAATACTCAAGATGGTTTTTACGGAGCCTATGAAGTTGGTGAAAATATGTTATTATATGACCTTTATCTCGGCTTCAGCTCGATAATTAAAACTTACATAAATCCTGCTTCAAAACGAGGAGGTGTGAAGTTTAGAGGAGGAATATTATATACCTGAGCATAAAATTATACAATCATACATACACAAACATATACAGGACAGGTATGCAAACACTTGAACACACGTACAGTTTAAAAAAATAGCAAATAATAATAAATCATCTTCTTCCTCATTTATATAAAAGTCAAAAACCTGCATCACGCTCAATTCATGCAAACGTCGTGTCTCATATTCCCTCTGAATTTACAACATGCAGGACTGATGGAGGACACAACTGTGTTGGACCAGATAAGTCGTACCGCTCCTGCAACATCCAGGTGAGTAAACAAAACTGAAACACAACTCAAAGCATTTTTTCTTCACGTCTCAGTATAAAACTCGTCATTTTAGAATCAGAGTGGATTTTTAGTATCACCTGTGAACATCTTCTCTCATTGAACGAACCAGGTTTATTGTGTTTGACGAGCTCTGTTTATGACCTTTGACCCCTCCCACTCTTCCCCTCAGGACTGTCCGGAGGGATCCAGGGATTTCCGTGAGGAGCAGTGCTCCCAGTTCGATGGGACAAACTTCCAGGGGAAACTGTACAAGTGGCTCCCGTATTATGGAGGTCAGAAACACAGTGCTAGTGGGGGACACTGGTCAAGATACAAATACAAGATACATAAATGAATAGATGTTAAATCCTCTCTCCGACAGCTGAGAACCCCTGTGAGCTGAACTGCATGCCGAGAGGAGAAAACTTTTTCTATCGCCACCGCAGCTCTGTGGTCGACGGGACGCCCTGTCACCCAGGACGGAGGGACGTCTGTGTGGACGGCGTCTGTAAGGTGGGCCGTGTAGGACACAGACATTAAATAGGTTTCAGTCTCACGTATGAAGAACGCAGCTGCAGGATTTACACTTTATTCTTGTTAAATGTAAATATATATGTGATTCCTTCTGCAGCGTCTGGGCTGTGACAACATGTTGGAGTCTCCTCAGCAGGAGGACCCCTGCCTGCAGTGTGGGGGCAATGGACAGTCCTGCCGCCGCGTCAAGAACAGCTTCAGTGTGCGAGACATGCCCAACGGTACGAAGCACATTATTAACACAAACACAGACAATCACAGTCTTCACTTCTCACTGAGGTACCAGGAATTATCTGACATCATCATTGTGTAAACGTGTGTCGCCATCTTGGTGTATTGTTTGTATATATGCTCACAAAATCTATTTTGGTCATCTGGTCTTACAATCTCCTTTTCATAGTTTTATTATCAATATATTTTTATTTTGCCCTCATCCATCATATAAAATTGAAACTTAATTACTATAACATTTTACCACTGTGTCACATATTGAATATTAAAGACTCCGAATGCATTTCTAGTTTTGTTTAGCTTTTTGTTTCTTGATTTTTGAAGAGTTGTTTCTCATTTCCATCTCAGGCTACAACCAGATGTTCATCATCCCAGTCGGAGCAACAACCATCAGCATCAGAGAAACGGTGGCTACGCGCAACTACCTCGGTAAAACTCTGATCCACAGAGAAACAAAGAGGAACGTTTTCATCAGACAGTGTATTAATGTTGAACTTTTTCTGCGTGGCCAGCGATCAAGAACCTGCGAGGTGAGTACTACCTCAACGGCCACTGGGTGATTGAGTTCTCCAGGGCAACACCCATTGCGGGCACCATGCTGTACTACCAGCGAGGCGCTGAGGGCGACAACGTCCCTGAGACCATCATCGGCCGCGGCCCCACCACTGAACCCCTGGTGGTTGAGGTGAGATCACACACTGTGGATGTGAGTTTTATTTAAAGTTTCTTATCTTTGTCAAATACCTGACTCCATCATCCACAACACAAACCTGTCTTTACACGTTTTAGATGATTGTTCACCTCAAGGTTGCATTTGAGATCAGGGAGCATCACAACAGAAGGGTTCATCCTCTGAAGATCGTGAATCTGAACCCACGATCATTCCCGATTGATAAATCATTAAACTGCTTGTCTTTGTGTACAACCCTCCTCCCTCAGCTGATCAGCCAGGAGCCAAACCCCGGGGTGGAGTATGAGTTCTACCTTCCTAACGGTCGCTCCAGAGAGGGCTACTACTGGAGCTTTGGATCGTGGTCCGCCTGCAGCAGAGAGTGTGGATCAGGTTCGACATTTAAACACAACACTGTGTTCGATTTCCTTGTACATTTCTCTTAAATGAAGCTTCACAATCCTCTTGTGAGATGAATCAACTCCACCTTTCCCGTCACTAGGCTATCAGTCTCGCTTGGTCTTCTGCACCATCGACAACGAGTCCTACCCTGATTATCTCTGCGCATCTCTGCCGAGGCCTCAGACCAACCGCACATGCAACCCTCACCCATGCCCCGAAGTCCACAGGTAAGTGTCCACTGATAAAAAGCGTGGATGTTTGCATGTAACTGTCAGAGCGGGTTTTCACTTGTTGGTGTACTATGACTGTCTGAAAGGATGGCGTACCTGTATCCACCACAGTTGTGGAGATCCTCACAAAGACCCAGTGCCCGTGTTTTCAGGTAACGCAGGGTCTGTGGTCGTAGTGTTAGTTGTAGGTGTCTGCAAACACCGGGGGGAGATCTCAGTCTTCACATAGATATTTTCATTTGTCTCTGTGTTTAGCATTTAGCCTGTTCCTCCTTGTGGGGTGAGAACGAAGGTGTGGGGCAACTGTCGAGCTCAGAGATCTCGTCTCAGCGTTTCAATGGACGTCACTGATCCTGGACACATTGAACGTCTCTCCCCTGAGAGGCCGAACACTTTGAAACCAGATTTCCACTAAAGGCCTCCTCCCTCTACAACCTCCCACTGTGTGGCCCCTGTACCTGATCTCTGAGCTGGGCTGCTGCCTGGTAGCTGCACTGTAAAACTCTGTCCCTGTCCGTTAATGTAGCTGATGTGCAGTGAAGGGTTCGTAGGTCAAAGGTCACCGTGCAGGGTGTTGTTGATTGTGTGCATATGAACGGAGCAGCAGCAGCAGTGGTCTGGTGGTAAGTAGTCGCTGCTTCACTCAGCGACTCTGGTATTTCCTGCTTCTTTTCTTTGATGCTGCTGCCGCTCAGAAACCTGAGACGTTAATAAAGCTCGGGCGAAGCTAACCGAACCCTCGTTATCTCTCAATTTAAAGAAATGCAGCAGGGAAGAACAGAACGTGTTCACATCTTTGAGTTGCATGTGTGAGATAAATCTGGAGCAGAGATTTGAGAGCAGTTTTTTTTTTCTTGGAGAATGCTTTCTAGTTAGCACTGCTTCTAGCAATTAGTGAAACATATGCTTTAAATAAATGTCTTCCAGCTCGGAGCTGCTGGTTTTCTGTCACTCTTCAGTCTGTGTAGTTTTTAACACAATCATGTGGTCAGTGGTTTGGATAACACGATGCTTCCTTTTGTAAATGTCAACGACACAAATTCACATCTGAACAACGAATAATTTGAGAGTGAACATAAAACTCACTGAGTCTGTCTCTGCTGGAGGTTCCTCCCCGTTAAAGGGAGGTTTTGAGTGCTTGATCGAGCTGTTGGGTGTCTCGACCTACTATTTAAAGTGTCTTGATATAAATATGAATATGTTTATACCTATTACTATTTCAAGCCGTCACCTCAACCCTGGGAGATAGTGATGAGAGTTTTCAGTATAATGTGTGATTTATCAAAGATAAAATGATTTCTAGATTAACCAATAATGAAAATAATCTTCTGGTGTAATCCTAAATTTTGTTTTTTTAAGTCAAGAACTTCCCATGTGAGACTCTCTCCGCTCAATGAGATACTTCCAAATTATCTGAATTAAATTCTCATGTTTTGTTTTGATGCTGCTCAGAAATATTCACAGAATTTAAGCACCACATCCAAACATATTTTTCTGATCTTGGAATGAAACACTTTCCACCACCTCCAGAATCTTCACCGGTAAAACCCCTGACTTCTGTCTCTCCTCCCTCTTGTCGGGTTTCCCAGCTGGAGAACTGGGGAGTGGAACACCTGCTCGGTCACCTGTGGTGGAGGCTCCCAGATCCGCAGTGTGCAGTGCATCTCCCATGATGCCTCAGGGTCCCGCGTGGTGGAGGATGCTGTTTGCGCCACCTACACCGAGGCACCTCCATCTCTGCAGACCTGCAACATGCAAAAGTGTGCCGAGTATCACGTGACCAGCTGGAGTGCGGTGAGCTGACCGCGTAGCTGCAGCGAATCGTTGTCTCACCTAATCTTCAACATTTAAGATCATGTGTCATCTGTGAGGTAACACCCGTGTTGTTGTGTAGTGCTCTGTGACCTGCGGTTCGGGGGAACAGACCAGAGAGGTCACCTGCGTGGGTTCAGGTGGGATGAGGCTGGAGGAAACATCCTGCAGCACGTTGCTCCGCCCGCTCGCTGTCCAACCCTGCGATATGGCCGCCTGCCCGATGGAGATCAACTGGCACGTTGGCGAGTGGGGCCTGGTGAGTTGGATGAGCACAAACAATGCGACGCAGTTGCTGTGGCTGAATGTGAAATATCACGTCGTCACTTCTCGTCAAGTCTTTTTTTCTCCTGTCACACCAATTCTGCTGCGAGGTCTCACTGGTTCTGCTGTTTCTCCATTTCCCTCACCCCCCCCCCCAGTGTTCCAAGAGCTGTGGCTCCGGCTCTCGAGAACGCCAGGTGATCTGCTCAGACCGAGAGAGGAACCTGTACCCTGTGGGCCGGTGTAACGCCCACCCCAAACCCTCCACAGTGGAGCGCTGCAACAGACAGCCCTGCTACAGTCCACAGGGTCAGTCTGTGCCTTAGCTGCTTCCATCAGTCTGTCACTCCTGAAAAAGAAGTTAAAGTTAAAACTTTACCTCACAACCTAATTCCGCCCACTGCATCATTTTCCACTACAGGTTCGGTGTGTAGAATTTAGTGACATCTAGTGGTGAAGTTGCATGTTGCAGCTGAATACCAGCAGAATATATATTCAATTTCTGCCAATAGATCAATTTCACCTAAATCTTACGCAGTGGATCTTTAAATGACGAGCAACATGTTAACTTTAATATAAAGTTTAGAGACATCCCGAACCCTGGGTGGAGCTGTATCAACCCATGAAATGCAAATTCATTTTATACATTTGGTGGAAAATGTGATTTTAAAGTCACACAGTACAGTCATATCATTCTGTTTACTTACTCCTGTTCTCTATCTTTCTATGTAGTTGTCCCCAGCGTCCAGGACCCACGAGGACATGACAACACTCAGACTGTCTTCCAGCCGTACGCTCCAGATCACGCATCAGGTCAGTGTCCGTGTTTGTCTGGTGTTTGGCAGAGTCGGGATCATGGAAACGGTCAAATTCATTTGTTAGTGAGTTCACAGAATGTTTTGAGTATAAACTCATGAGATGACGCTCAGGGGAACCAAGGGGACCTCAGAGGATTATGGCTCAAGGTGGTTAAGACAACAACTCCCATGATCCCACGCTGCCTCATGATGTTAGGACTTTTGTTACTGTTTTGATTGAGAGACCCCTTGTGGTCAACGTTAAAAAATGTGTAGGTGTGACGGCGCCCTGATCATTTCTACCCTCCAGTTCCCCCTGAACCCCTCGCCCTCCTCCTCCAGGCCCCCGCCCCGTCCCCATCCAGCCCCTGTCCCAGCACTAATTATCCAGGCCTGATTGACATGTTTTCAGGGGTCATCGGCCATTGTCGGCCTGATTAAAATATTTCCGAGGCACTGAAGTGTGCGAGTGCTGGCTGTGGTGTCTCTGGCATGTTCTGGCATTTTTCAGAACCGAGTGCTTTCACAGTCTTCAGGAATTTGCAAGTTTGACGTCTTGTGTGCCTCCACCTCCTGCGCGATCATTTACTCTGGATGCTCGTACTCGTCGTCCCAGTGGAGTCTTCATTGTTTTCTGCTCCATCTTTCTGAACACTAATACGTTGTTGTAGTGTTTTTGGTTTCGGTGCGTGTTCCTGTTTGGTTTGTGTTTCAGCCTCCTCGCTGCGTGGCCTCCAGCACAATAGCTTTAGACTGTTTACTGAAAAGTTGATGTATGTGTGAAGTCCTCAATTGTTGAATTCTCAGTCCGCAGGCCGGAGACGGATCCAACCCAGACGAACACGGTCCACGACCCTCACAGCTCCGCCCCTGCCCTCCACTGTAGTCAGTCGTATTACGGCTGCTGCCCGGACGGACGCACTTCAGCCGGAGGCCCTCAGGGTCTGGGCTGCCCACAGGTCGTAGCTCCAACTCCTGTCCTGCCGTCCTGCATTCACACCAGGTATCAGCCTCCAACCTGTCATTGCACCGTGGTGGAAGTTAAACATGGAGTCTGATTCGAAGTCTTTAGCTCCTTTCACATATTGTTGTCCTGCGTTCGCGGCGTCAGCGGAGACAGAACTGAATCCACGTCTGTTTAAATGGGACACAGCCACAACAGCGGGACAGACGCCAACGCTGTCACACGTCACGCCTCTGATTATGTAAAGCTGGCATGCCATGTAAAATCTCACACGGGGGGGTGGTTTCTCTGGTTCAGTGTCAACAAGCAAAGGCAGCGTAATGAGGGGTCTTCTTAACGACTGTATAGTGGGATCTACTCATGAATGGGTCTTTTTCTCTGTGACTAACCACAGATCGTTTTCCGCCACTTAAACATCACGTTGGAGTTGAGGTTTTCTTAGAGAGTTCTTATTTCTTCAGTACCTTCAGTACAAACTGTTTTATTTTTTAAAATCTCTTCTCTGACAGTTTCGGCTGCTGTCAGGATGGTGTGACGGACGCTCAGGGCCCCAACAAGGAGGGCTGTGTGGAGTTTGTGGCCCCTGCACCCACTGTGAGCAAATTCACAGTTTGATAAAAAAAAGATACCTGGTTATTGATTGATCAGAATAATATTGAGGGATGATGTTTTTCACCCGCCTCTCTCGTGTGTTGACCTGTTTCCTCAGACTGCTCCTTCCCTCCCCACTGAGAACGCAGTACAGTGTCGAACCACCACCTACGGGTGCTGTTACGACCGCACCACACCTGCAGGGGGACCCAACGGGGAGGCCTGCCCGAACCCACCAAACCACAGTAAGGAGACGTACAGTCTTTTGGTCTGTTTAAATGAATGAATGAACTGCTGTTACACAAGTCAAACCCTCCTTGAGATGAAGTGATTAATAGAGATAGGAGATTTATTGTCCAAAACATGATTTACATGAGAGGGAACTAAACTATGTACTGAGGTAAGCAGCAAGGAAATAGAAACACTGGAATCAGCAAATAAATACAATGAAATAAAATCAATGAGACAATAGAATCTCAAACTAATCAAGGATAATGTGGAGCCTGCTCACTGGTAACGTCCCCTGCTCTCCTTCTTTGTTGCAGTCGAGCGCTCCATCTGCTCCCTGCCTCGTGCCGCCGGCTCCTGCAGCAGCTGGATCTCCCGCTACCACTTCGATGTCATCACCTCCAAGTGCGTGCACTTCTGGTACGGCAGTTGCCACGGCAACAGCAACAACTTCATGACCCGGGCCGAGTGCCAGAGGGCGTGTCAGGCGCCTGCACCGAGCCAGCAGGGCCCCGAGCTCCCGGCTCCCGCGGGAGAGCCAACATCGAGGAGGGAATCCACCCCTGGGAGGCCCACATCTGGAAGAGGCTCCACATCTGGAGCAGGCACCTCATCTGGAGGAGGATCTAGAGCAGGCGGGTCCACCTCTGGAGGGTCAACGGGCGGGCAGTCACGCAACATGGGGAGGATTTTCACAGTCCAGGGAGGTTCGAGCACCGGCACCGTCAGACAGGCCACAAGCGCTGCCACAAACGCCCACAGAGGAAGAACCTATCTGCGGGGACGCCGGCCTTCACCCGTCACCGCTGCACAGCACAGCAGCCCAGCAGCGAGGTAAGACCCCGGAGACCCAGGGAGCACGGCAGACAGCCCTCTACCTGCTCCAGCCCTGACGCCACTGGTCCTTTAACGCTGTTTACTCCCTTCCTGCCCTCGCTGAAGGAGCCCCTCTGACCCACCACGATTCTGTGGGGCCAGAGAGGGAGCTGAAGGAGAAACATCATCCAAAGACATTCACTCACCTCCCAAAATATTATGATGATGAAGTTGATGTTAAATTGCTCCACAAACATTTTTAAACATTACAACAAAAGTCCGAAAATGAAGGGTTTTAGACGTTTTCAGTAAAATGTATCATCTGTAATCGTAAAAGACTAAATCTTGGCTTCTTTTCCAAGTTTTTGAGACTCAATGATCTGATTTAAAGAGTAACTCAACACCTTGTTTGTAGTGACCTCTGGTGGTTGAACTCCTCACCCTGCTGCAGTGATGTAGAGGTGTACCTCAGGGTCAGTCAGTGCTCTGTGACGTCCTGCACGGGTCCATTATTGCAAACCTGCACCTGCAAATCTCCGTAACTGACTAATTACCCACTAATATGTCCTCATCCAATCCAGACCCCCTAACACCCGACCTGTGATTAAACACATGAGCTACATCCACGGTTACAAACTCCTCGACCTCCTGTTCTGGTGGTTAAGTTGTGTTTAATTACATTTCTCCAAAGAAACAAACTTGAGTTCTCACCTGCTGCCCTCATGCTTTTATTTAATTTCTATTTAACCCGGTGCAGGACTCACAGATACGACACAGCAAAGTTCAGAATCACTGTTTTCCTGCCTGATGTTGAGTTACTCTTTAAAGACGACTATTCTCATTTTGTTATTAGCAGAATATTGTGTGCTGTGCTTTATTTTATGCATCTCGCTCTTCATGTAGATGAAACCTTTGCTTCGTAAACACGCTGCAGCTCCACAGACGCTCACATTCACGCCTGCTTCAGTAGCAACACCTTGTTTCTCTTGTTTAACCTCGACAACATGTCAGGAGAAGTTGAAAACCTCACAGCGACCCGACACGGACTCCTCTCTGTTTTATGTTTCTGGGACTTTTCACCGTCTGTGTGGAGTTAGTATCAGTTTCCCTCTGGTTCTTATCTGTGCCCCTCTACCTCACCCTGTCGGTCGGCACCAGCTTTGTGTTTTCACCTCGATGTCTTTAGATCAAAACTAATAAAGGTTCTGCTGTGATGCTTCACGTCCTCGTTTGTGTGTCGTCACTAAACTCTGTCGTTTCCACCTCACTGTTGTGTAGTTGTGTTGAAGTTGTCGCTGGGAGATGTTGCTTGTGTCCACTTCTTACTGTGGGTTTTATTTGGTGTAAAGAAAACTGTCCTTCGTCTTCTGGTGTGTGTCAACATCACCTCCTAGTTTTTAACATTAGTTAATGTTGTGTATCTTTGTTGTTTCGAGGGACAACATCGTGTGTCTGTGTTTTCTCGTCGCATGTTGAGCCTGTTGTGTCTTCGTCTCTCGTCTTTTCTTCTGCTGCCGGTTTGTAGCCGTTCTTTATGTCTGCTGTGGTGACGACTAATCAAAGAACCAACAGGAGCATAAAGTGACTCTTTCTTTTCATCCTTCATTCTCTGTTTCCTACATTCCTTCACTCCTTCCTTCCTCAATTCCTCCCTTTCTACCTTCCCTCCTTCTGTCCTTCATTCATTCCTTCCCTCCTTCCTTCCTTCCTGTCTCGTATCTCCTCATGTTTCCTCAGTTTGACGCTGGGTGGAGTGACCATCGATAAGTCGGACCCCTCCACAGTGGAGGCTTTAGCTGGCCAGACGGTTGTGCTGCCCTGCAGAGTCAGCCCCCCTCCGTCCTCCACCGTCATCGTGGAGTGGAAGCGAGACGGCATCCCTCTGTCGACTCACAGGTCAGAAACACACACACACACACA